TTTAAGGGGCCCCCCCCCCCCCCCAATTATACTGTAGTGGATTGTTTCCCTTTCAATAGGGAAACTTGCTTGCAAATCATTTTCTAAAGTTTATTGTTTATGGGACAAAAATTGTCACCTAGGGATAAATGCTTGAGTTAATTGATAGTTTGTTTCCATGATACCACAAAGATTAAATTGTCTTTTCTTTTGGAGTAATTGCTTACCTGGAGAATTAGGTTGAAATTCTGCCAAAGATTTCTGACTTTTTGCAGCCTGAAACGTCCACATGGTAGTAAAGGATTCTTCTTTCTCTGCATTGAACTTTTTCAAGTTGAGGATAAGAGCAAGGAAAGTGCTACTGAGATGTGTTCTTATTAATTAAAAAGAAGGGAGAGAAAATGTTTGGTTTATAATTTGTATTGATTAAAATGTTTGAGATCTATTATCTTGAAACTGTATGTGGTATATCTGGATTGTTATTTTCCACTTTATTAAAATACCATGTAAAATGTTTTGTTCTTATTTTTTTTCCCTGGGAATAATATTCAAATAAATAATATCTGTAATTAACTTAAGCATGTATCTTTGTTTTAATAGGCATCAAGCATGATGGAACCATGTGTGATACCTGCCGCCAGCAACCAATCATTGGTATTCGATGGAAATGTGCAGAGTGTACAAATTATGATTTGTGCACAGTGTGTTATCATGGAGATAAACATCATTTAAGGCATCGCTTTTATAGAATTACTACGCCAGGAAGTGAGCGGTAGGGGAAACAATTTTTTGTTTTTTGTTTTTTTTGTGTTTTTTTTTGTTTGTTTTTAAGGCCTACCTGCTTAGCCTTAAAAATAGCATTAGCAAATAGCTTCTGATAGTTGGTTTGGTATCAGGAGGTAGCAGATAGCAGGCTAGAAGTGACCAGGTCTGCTGTATGGTGAGATAAGAGCTCTGTGAAGGTGGAACGTTTGGAAATGCAAGAGCAGCCCAAGAGAGGCTGATTATTTTTTTCTCACTGTGTCTTCTATTCTGTTAATTGCTGCCGGATGAACACAAGAGCCCACTGATTGAATCAATAGGCATTTATTAAGACTACATGGCAGCTACTATATTTGTGGAGATTTGAAGATAAATAAGATACGTAGTCTTAAAGAGTTTAAAAGTTAAAGGAAATAATGGATCAGTTATTATCGTGTGATGTTTTGGACTGTGGTAGAGATATATATTAAGTGTCTTAAAAGCAACAAGAGAGGATTATTCATTGTTAATGGGTATAGAGTTTTAGGTGATGGAGTCTTCTCATGTAGATAATGATAATGCATAGGAACAAGAATCCAGCCAGTCATAGGGATGCAGCTAGGAGTAGTAACAGTAATAAGTAGATTTTGGGGTGAGACTGTCCCAGTGCAAATCATGGTCCTGCCATTTATTAACTGAATAATTTTGAACAAGTTATTTTTGTCTTTTGCTTACAATTAAAGTTGAGGAATAATAAAGACATTCTAAAAATGAATAGAACAGGGCCGCCCCATGGCGCACTCGGGAAAGTGCAGCGCTGGGAGTGCAGCGTCGCTCCTGCCGCGGGTTCGGATCCTATATAGGAATGGCCAGTGCACTCACTGGCTGAGCACAGTGTGGGCAACACCACACCAAGGGTTGCGATCCCCTTACCGGTCACGAAAAAGACAAAAAAAAAAAAAAGAGAGAATAGAACAGTGATATAAAATTAGAAAAACTAAATGAAAAGACCGCCAAACCATTCTGATTACACGAATGAGAAGGATGTAGAAGAATAAGAGATAGATGGCCTTGTAGAACCAAACTGGCCCAGATAGTTGAGTGTGGAATCTTCCCATAATCTTCTACAAGTATGCAGTACTTGGGAGACTGTTTAGTATAGTTCAAATCTAGGCCACAGATGTATTTTAGTAGCATATACAATTTTTGAATAATTGCGAACATTTTAAAATCAAGTGATTTCACACAAAAATGTAAGTCTGTAGATTCTTAAAACACACATACAAACACACCCACCCACTCACACCCCCAGAGGACTCTCAACACTGGGCTTGCATTTGTTTTTGGCAACAGTTGGCTGAAGCAGAGGCACCTGCACCCTTTAGACAGTTCACGCTCTTGAGTTGACCAAAGTCCCTGTCACTCCCTGTTGTCTGCCTAAGTCTGAGGTCAAGTGCCATTTGATGTTTGTCATTGTAGTGCTATCTCTCTTAGGCCCACACTTATATAACTTGCATGACAGCTATAGGGATTTGAGGTTGCCACTTCTAAAGTTGCGAAGAGTTATAGTGGTACCCTGAAGTTGCTGGACTGAGTTCATATTAACTATTACTTTTTAACTTTTGTGATCTTGGGCAAATGATTTAACTTCTTTGAGACTCAGTTACCTTATTTGTACAATGGATAATATAGCAGTACCTTTCTCTTAAGGAGTGCAACGCACTTTACACCTATGTAAGTGCTTTTACATATGGTAAAAGCTCTGTAAATGCTAACTATTATTATTATTACAACTACTACTGTCATCATCATCATCACCACCAGTGGAATGTAAAAGGTATTCCTGTATCATGCTATTATCTGGTAACCAGAACAAAGAAAATTTTTTTCTATTTTCAAAATCTTTTTATAATTTTATTTAAAAAAATAAATTACTGTTACCCATTTTTATATAAATTTGACAATAAATCATTTTATTTTTAGGGTTCTATTAGAGTCTCGTAGAAAATCTAAGAAGATTACAGCCAGAGGAATCTTTGCAGGTGCCAGAGTCGTACGAGGAGTAGACTGGCAGTGGGAAGATCAAGATGGAGGAAATGGGCGTAGGGGAAAGGTACAATGTTTTTCATAATTCATCATGTGTTCTAAAGTATTGTATGTTCAGGAGATTTTTATTACTACTACAGATGAATTTCTTGGCTCTTTTTATATGCCAATAACAGTTTTAAAAATCCTTATTTCTGGAGTAAAAAATATTGTTTCTGCTCTTTTGTAAGCATTGGGATTCCTTGAGAAGATTGTAGGGTAGGTTTTACCTTTCCACCCTCAGGTTTCATATTGCCCTTTTGTTGCCAACAGTGCCTTAGCAAACATCTGTTTGGGCCAGTCTTCCCTAAGCAGTATCATGCTCTCAACTTTCCTGCTGTTAAAATTTTATTTGAACTGACTTGTATTCCATTCCCTCAAAGGCCTATTTCTGAGAGGGAGTAGGCGCTACTTTATTATCCAGTCCACTTACCTCTGTGGTGTGCAGAGCTGTCTAGGGGGTCAATTATAGCGGTTATTCTGAAGGGAATTTTGTGTAGCCTGTTTAGGTGAGGTGGAATACTATTTTAGCAAGTGGGTTGTTGGTTGTATTCATTTTGGGTTTTGTGTTGCTTTGGCTGATTCTTCATTCATTGATTCAGTGAGTCAATAAATATTAATTGAGTGTGTTGCTCTGTTATGCTAGATGTGCTGAAATGAGTAGCATGTCACTTTTGAGACTTAGATGTCAACCACTATCAATCCCGCTGTTACCTTTTTGAAAGAGTTGTTTTTAGTGTTAAAGGATAATGATTTTAAATTTTATGTCATCTGAGAAAGTTTTCACAGGAGCTCAGAAGCCTCTTTTGTACAGAATTGGTGCTATGTTGATTCTTTTGAGTTTCAGATGTTTAAACATTTTTTCCAATTTAAAAAATTCAGAGTAGTTATTATATTGGTTTTATTTTAAATAATAAGGTATAGGGCCGGCCCGTGGCTCACTTGGGAGAGTGCGGTGCTGATAACACCAAGGCCCCGGGTTCGGATCCCACACAGGGATGGCCGGTTCACTCACTGGGTGAGCATGGTGCTGACAACACCAAGTCAAGGGTTAAGATCCCCTTACCGGTCATCTTTTTAAAAAAAAAAATAAATAAAAAAAATAAATAATAAGGTATAATTTTAATATTTGGAAGTTAGACAGATGATTTTAGCCATTATATTTTACGTACTTTACCTTTATTAAGGAAACAAACTTTTAGTTTTTTAAAATTCAGTAAATATTTGTTGAGCACTTATTATGTACAGGGTTCATTCCAAGCATCAGGGATATAGCAGTAAATAAAGGACACAAAGTTCTTAACTTCCTGAAGCATATATTCTAATTAGGGGAGATAAACAAACAAAAAAATCTAAATCTAAATTCTTGTGACTGTAGTGTGGTCTGTGGGCCAGCAGCATTGGTGTCACTTGACAGCTTGTTAGATACGTAACAGGTCTCCTTCCTCCCAGATCTTCTAAATAAGTATCTTCATTTTAACATGATCCCTAGGTCATTTGTGTGCATATTAAAGTTTGTGAAGCATTGCTTTAAAAAGAAAAATAGAGCCATGTGAATTTGGAAAAGGTGCCACCTCTGAATGGATAGAGTGCCAAGGGGACATGCTTTGCAAGCCAATGGCATAGAAAATGCACCCTTTTGAGAGTGGGGGCAAGAACAGCCTTGCCCCAGTGCATAGGTCCTAACAAGTGGAGCTCAGACTGGCTGTCAGCCCTTACTCTCCTCGTCAGTGAGGCACCTTGTGCAGTGAACAACCTCTACAACCATTCATAGCAGTCCTGTACCACACATACAGAAGAAGGTATAAAATGTATATGAGAGTAAAGAATAATAGAAAAAGGAACACTTTTGTTCTCACTATACAGATTAAGAAATATAATATTGTGCATACCTTTAAAAGCCCTGTCTCAGTTGCAAGCCCCACAAGTTAACCACCATCCTGATTTTTTTGTTCATTATTCTCTTGTTTTTCTTTATTGTTGTATCATTTAGTGTTGTATCCTACAACATTTAGGTTTAATTTTGAAAAACCAAGTAGCAAGCACAAACTTAGCTTTGTAAGGTCAGGGCAGAATTGCCACTTTTATTTATTTATTTTATTTTATTTTATTTTTTCATTTTAATAATATATTTTATTTAGCTCAATGTATCCAAAACATTATCACTTCAGTATGTAATCAGTATAAAAATGATGACGTATTTTACATTTTTTCATATAAGTCTTTGAAATCTGGTGTGTATTTATTTTATATTGACAGCACATCTTAATTTGTGCTAGCTACCTTTTAAGTACTCATAGCCACAGTGGCTAATGGCTCCCATACTGGTGTGCACAGTACTAAAGGATAGAACACGCAAATTCATTTGCTTAGTGTATTAGTCAGGGTTTTCTAGGAAGAGAGAATCAATAGGATATGTTATAAATATATGAGAGGGGATTTATTAGGGCAATTAGCTCAGGTGATTGTGAAGAGCATTCCCACGATAGGCCATCTGCAAACTGGGTGCCAGTAGCATGGCTCAGTCCAAGTCTGAATGCCTCAAAACCAGGGAAACAATGGTGTCCTTGGTGTAAGTCCTGGAACCCAAAAACTGAAGAGTCTCAAGCTCTGATGTCCATTGACAGGAGAGAAGAGTGTATCCCAGCTTCCAGAATTGCCACTTTTAAATGAAGGCTCCTGGGAGTATATAAACTGAACAGAGTCTCTGGGTAACCTGTTTTGCTCCAGCTTCAATGGGAATTTACAAGAGTCATTCTGGAGCAGTCAGTGGCTGAGGTCACTCATGAGTCCTGGGAACACAGGGCTCAACCCAGTCAAGACATCAGGTGGAAGAAGAAGGGCCAGGTGCTGGGCCTTCGGTAGAAGTGTGGTCAGAAGGGATAGGCTATTATGTATTTTCTGCTTCTAAGCTTACCATAGCCGCCTACTTTAGGAGTAGGTCAAAGCATAATATTCTGTGATCCAGCTGATCCAGGTGGCAGGGAATGGGGGTGGATGGGAGAGTGGAAACATTATCAGTACATAGTCCAAACAAGCCAAGTACACTTGAGAATGTGGGTCAGGCTTACTTGGACATTGTGTCTTCAGATCAATAAATGGTACAGTGCCAATGGGGATCTTGATAGGAGCCTTCAACTTGTTTGGCCAGAATCACATGGCTGCATTCTGATCTGGACAGGTCACCCTCCATGCCTGGTACCCAGCAGTCATCCTGGAAGCTTCTTTTGATGTCCTGTGATGGATGCCTTTGCTCTTTTCTGGCTGGATCTGATGTTTTGTATATCCCATTACATTGTCTTACTCAGCTTACTTTCCCTTTTGGTAGAGCACACGTTATAGTAACTTATTTTGAAAGAGGGCATGAGAAGTAAATCTTTAATACTTTTATTCTGAAAAATAACTTTATGTTCTTCCCCAAACTTAATTAATTATATGGTCAGAGGATTGGAAGTCATTTTTTCATCAGCTTTTCAAGGCAGTTGCTGTTAAAGTCTGAAGCCACATAGATGGAACTTTCTGGGTTTTTGCTATATTGGCACTTCTTTGGGATTGAAAGTATGTATTCTTGAGGCTTTGAGTCATCAGTGTTACTTTTTTGGTTTGTTATGATTTAACACATGTTGCATTTTAAGAACAAAACGAGGAAAAATAGATGAAACCACCTTGCACATGTGACTCTGAGTGAAGGGACTTCATATAATAAGTCTTCATTGTTTAAGCACATGTTTAACACCAAAAGTAATTTTTATCGTTTGACTTTTTGTTTGTGTGTGTGAATGTAGAAAGTTATCATCTCCCTTTTCCCTTCAGTGCTGGCTGCTCTATCCCAATCCCCTGATGTAACCCATATTGGGTGTAGTATATTCTTTTTTTTTTTATATTTATTTTTTTTTTCATTAAATTTTTATTTTGTCAATATACAATGTATATGATTATTATGGCCCATCACCGACACCTCCCTCCCTCCTCCCTCTCTCCCCTCCCGCCCAAGAATGTCCTTTCCGTTTGCTTGTTGTAACAACTTCAAAAAGGTATAGTTGTTATATCTTCTTCCCCCCCCCTCCCGGTTTTTTTTGTGTGTGTATGTGGGTGGATTAATTTGTTTATTTTTTAGCTCCCACCAATGAGTGAGAACATGTGGTATTTCTTTTTCTCTGCCTGACTCATTTCACTCAATATTATTCTCTCAAGGTCCATCCATGTTGTTGCAAATGGCAGTATTTCATTCGTTTTTATAGCTGAGTAGTATTCCATTGTGTAGATATACCACATTTTCCGTATCCACTCATCCGATGATGGACATTTGGGCTGATTCCAGCTCTTGGCTATTGTGAAGAGTGCTGCAATGAACATTGGGAAACAAGTAAACCTTCGACTTGATGATTTCCATTCCTTTGGATATATTCCCAGCAGTGGGATAGCTGGATCATATGGTAAATCTATCTTCAGCTGTTTGAGGAACCTCCAAACCATTTTCCATAGGGGTTGCACCATTATGCATTCCCACCAACAATGTAAGAGAGTTCCTTTTTCTCCGCAACCACACCAGCATTTATCTTTCAGCATCTTTTGGATTTTGATTTCTGTCTTTTTAACTGTCCCACTTAATCAATTCTTCAGTGTCATGAAGAACTTAAATACCTGTTTCCCTTCATTTTCTTTCAGTCCACCATCTCCAGCCTTGTGACTCTCTCCTAACCTTATGCAGGCTAGGACCCACATTTTATTATTTCAAACACTCTATTGATGGCACCCTCAATGACTTCATCTTCTACTTCCCCCATACCCATTGTATTAGTCC